CAACTTATCCAAATACTTCGAGTACGGCGGACTGCCAAGGCTGATTGTGCAACAGAACTTAACAGCCTATATATAACAAGTTTAGAGGATTCACAGCAAATGCAGAATTTTGCATCACTGGGGAGAAGAAACGCACCGGTTAGGTAGCACCCCTGATCAAACTGACCAAAATAACTTGTTCGACTTTTTACAAAATGATCGAATTATTTTATTTTCAGCCTCTCATCTCAAGCATTTTCTTCAAATTTATTCACCATTTCCAAAACAAGACGGTTAGGTTTTTTGAAAATCACGAAAGACTGATAAAAATGAGGGTGTTTTTTGTGATAAGAAGTTTCTTATCACAACGAATCATTGGATAACAAAAAAAGATGTGTCGAAACATAATAATCTGTTAAAATGATTACTATACAATGATTACTGCTCCATATCTTCGGTTGAAAGACGTTTTCTAGGAGAGCTACTTATCATTCATAGACTATTCCACTGCAGTTTAACTCATTCATGAAACAGTACTTGTTTCCTCAAAAATTTTACGCCAAAATCATCGTACTAAGGCTGTGAGGAAAACTGTGAATTAAAAATTTCCTCGAAAAACATGGTCTTCTCCGTATAATATAAAATTCGTGCTCAAAAGACGAGCTAATAGCAGAACGATGAGTTATCATGAATGGCAGCAATGAGCAAAGTATCAAAGTAAGTATTTCAGGCGCAATTTCCTCTAGCATCCTTGTTTCACTTTTTGCCTACTAATTTTTTTATCCTTATTTCGAGCTTTTGGTGGCGCTTGATTGATTCCCGATTCTTGGCGTCCATATTGGTATTTATACGAATCAGACCGTAAATAATCCCACAGCGGCTTATGGCCTGCAAAATGACGAAATGTTTCGAAAACTGTAAACACTCATCACTGTTTAATAAAGAACACACAATGAAAATTAACAGCAAGGCAATACTAGAACGGTTGTTTCACATTGCTGTTGTTTCATATTTACTTTCTATAATAGGCGGAGGAATTTGGAAGGAGCTCGTATGAAAGCACTTGCCAAACCCCCTGGTGACGTTGTTGATGGCTCTACAAGCAAGCTGATGGCAGTTTTGACTCCCTGGCAATAATGCAAGCCCAAATTTAATAATCCAGTCCAACTGATCGTCATAAAGCACAAAAAACTCGGGAATAAAAAGGGATCTACGTTAAAATGGTAATCCAAGTGAAGCTACTGGTGTAAACTTGAAAGGTAATATGCTTTTTCTTTGGTAGTTACGCTGAAATGAACAAAAAGCCTTTTTTTTTTCGTAAATGGCGGTAACAGAGAAAAGTCTTGTCGCAATTTGGCTCATCCATTACACAGCACGTTCTCATATTGGTACTCGCATAGATAAGTAAGGACTGTTAATAGGCCCAGTAAATTTGTATGCCAGAAAAGCGACCGTGAAATTTCGCCTTTAAGCGGACAAAACAAAAAAGCACGTACCTCTTGCTAAAGCTTCAGCCAATGGTTGTACCCATGGGTTATTTTCAAGCCGAAGAATTTGTTTTGGACCAATAAGGTCCAGTCCAGCGATTTCCGGAGGCAAGACGGTCAATCGATTTCCCTGAAAAGTGCACTGCAGCAACTATACGACTGAATGAAATAGAGTTATCGAGCAAGCACTTCTCTGCTACATCATCCCCGTCCGTACTATTTCATTACGATAAGATAATACCATAAACGTCCGAGTCATCACCGGGCTGACCACTGGGGGATGCAGTACTGGTCAGAGAAAACGGAAAAGTTGTCAGTCGCACAGCTGGAGAACCACGCGATGAATTAACGGTTTTTTCAAGGCACCAACATAAAGGAGGACTGCCCCGCACTTATCGTCGATAGCTCCACATATCCCTATACTTGGTGTCCCGGCGAAATTTCTGTATTCCTAACACTGTTGTGCAACCCGGACAACCCACATGAACCCGATCTGTAGTCATCTTTCGGGAATGACTTGAAAACATCACTAATCGTCCTATATCAATTCGTCTCAACTTCAGACAAAATCATTCCGCCAGAGTCAGAGGAAAAAAAATTTTCACCTGTACATGAAGTTCTTTTAAGCGGTACAATCTGCCGATTTCTTTAGGCAGAGCGAGTAAATCATTTTCACGAAGCACCAGTATTTGTAGACTCGATAAATTTTCGATGTCAGCAGGCAAATATTCGAAGTCGTTATCGCCCATATAGAGGGCGCGTAGTGTTGCTAAAACGGCAAACTGCCAAGTTCGGCAAA